AGCCTTGGCTAGGTCGAAGGGGTGCCTTGGATTTTTATCCTTGCCTTCCCCTTCGTCAAATGTGACTCCCGAACCTTTTTCATTGGTTTACGTGGACTAGGAGTCGTTTAAAAGGGGTTTCTTATAACTTTTTCCTAAAAAATTCATTTTTAGGTGACTTGGTACACCTTAACTCATTACCAAGTGGCGACTCCCATTTTTTCAAAAACCCTTTTTAAACTATAATTTTGGGTCAAATCGTCGCATTTTCAAACCCCCATTTAGACCCATTTTTCTTTTAAATCACGATTCATTTTCCAATCACAAAATACATCTTTCTCAAACCATTTATTTATTTTTCTTATCAAAAAATGGGGCGCGACACATTTGATTTGAAAAGCAATTTGAAAATTTTTTGGGCTAATCGAATAGTGGGAGACCTTTTAACAAATTCGAACGAATGAATGGTTTTGGTTGGCCCAGGAATTTGTACAAATTAATTTAACTGTGACGAGTTTGATATTGAAGAAATTTGTAATCTCCTAACACAGACCAAAACCCTAATTCATCCAAATCAAATAAATGCACTGGGTGATTATCTTAAAAATAACTAGGTTTCTCAATTTGAATTTTGACATTAAAACCTTAATTAGCCGACTGGGTTGGATGAAATTGATGATTTATTCAAAAATTGACCGGATCACCTTAAAAAAGGGTAAAATGGTCAAATGCATGAATAAGATTTGATTATTTATTCAAAATTGAATGGATAACCCTAAAAGTGAATTAAACTAGCCAAATGAATTGAATGAAATCAATTGATCAAAACATATCGAGTGAAATGATGATTTATTCAAAATCGACCGAATTGCCCTAAAAATAGGTAAACTGGTCGAATGGATCAGACAAAATTGATGATTTATTCAAAATTGATAAGATTGCCCTAAGAATGGGTAAACTAATCAAATGAATTGAATGAAATTAGTGATCTATTCAAAAACGACTTGATTGCCCTAAAAATGAACAAATTGATAAAATGGACTGGATGAAATTGATGAATAAAATGGTCCAATGGATTGAATGGAATTGACGGCTTATTGGTAGTTTCAAAAATTTATTGCGATGCATTAGTCTATGAGCCTTCTAATATCAAATTTTGGCCTCAAATTATTTATCGTCTCAATAGTGAGGAATTACTTGTGAATTTCTTCAAATTAATGTCCTTTACGCCAGGGATCTTTACCAATTTTGATAAAATGGCCAAAAGGTGATTATTAGACGCTCATATTCCAAAGAACGCTCTTGAAAATGATCGGATCCTACCTTACCTCGTGCACTACCCCTTTGGATGGTACAGGAAATATAAATGTGCAAGTCTCATTGGATTATATATCCGAGACACAGGGCGGTTTAATCCTAGCACGGGATCCCCTAAATGGCATTCCCTTCTAAGGTGGATGCATGATGCCAGTTTATTAAAGCAATAAAACATGCGATTTAAAGAAAAACATGCCCTAAGGAGCCCTATATATGCCCGGATAGGCCTAAAATGATATGCTATTAAATTTTTTTTAAACAAACGATAAAATTTTATAGATATTAACACTTGAAAATACAAGAGTTAATTAGAAAAAGGGGTAACTACCCCCATATCTTTCCTAGAAAGAACAGTTAACCATGTTGGAAATGAAGCTTGCCAATCAATGGTATTAACCACCTTGGTTGCAAATTAAGCCATTGCATGACTGCAACCATTCGCACTTCTGGTGTAACGGCCCCACTTCTCCCTAGGGCGTACCCTAGGGTATCGGCGGACCGCCTGCCCAGCTCTCGCCGGGACTCAGTCAGTCACTATAAGAAAAGATAAGAAAATCCACAAAACAATCGAAATAACAATAATTCCAAACTTAAACGTAAACTTATATACATTACTGTCTCAATGGAAGTACAACTGTCAAAATATAGGTTCTCAATTCACCATACAACCAGCCCGTGCCAAGCACTAGGGCGAGAACCTTTACAAAAGAAACCAAAGTACCAAAACGGCTAATCTATTCGTAGCTTCCGTCCTCGCACGTCTTCCCCTGCTAAGGAAAACAAAAACTAAAGGGATGAGCTGGAAAGCTCAGTGAGGTTCCGTACACATAGGCAACAAGAGAAACAAATGCATGTAAACAACAATTCAAGATACAAGTACAATAAAGCGATAAACACATTCATTAAAAGGATACGGGCTCACTAGGAGCCATAAATTCGTTCATTCGCTCGTTCTCCTGACATTTCCCCCTTATTCCTCCGTTCGTTTAAAGATTTCATTTTTGTAAGTAAAACCCCCGTTCGTTCATCCATTCGTTCATTTCATTCACCCCGTCCCTGGCTTTTGGCCAGGCTCCACCAACCTACAGGGTAATACTCGAGTATACCGGATCGTTCACCCAAGTTCCTAATCGCTCGACCGAGTCTAACTGGCTCGAGACGACCGGTAACAAGGGGCAATGGCCAGTTCAGCCCGAAGGCCTACATTCATGCACAATTAACATTTCAATCGCTCAATCATTAAAATTTCACAATCATTTAGGCTAAGTGCGGTAAAGTACACACTCGCCTCAAAAATCATTTTAGCAATCATTGAAAGCGTTTAACACGTTATCAATCATTCAAACAAGCCATAAAATCAGGAAACATAACAAACAAGGAACACTCACCTATAACCGCAAAACAACGCCCAATTCTCAATCACCAATGAAACCTAAAATTCCACAAAGATCACATTACAATCCATTTAACATGATTTAGAGGAAATCAACAATTACCCGACTACTCGCGAGTAAACGTAAAAAGACTTTCAAAGTGTAACGAGGCACTTGGATTCGTAGACAAGAATAACCCTAATGCAACCCAAACCAAGAAGGTTATAAAATCTCTAAGAGGAAACACTCACTCCAAACAATTCGAAATTCCAATAGAGCTAAGAAAACATTCTTTCAGAATTGCGTATGTGATTCAAAGGCATATATATACAAGTGGTCAATAACTAACCAATGCCTTGATAAAAATCGTGTGAAAAGGAGGACAAAATACTTTAACTTCCACACTTAAAACCTTGCTTAGAAACAATGCACTTATGGCCGATAAAACCGGAACTCATACCTCTATCGGTTGGAAAGGCTTAAGGACCATTTGAAGTTTGAAACGAAAAGGTATCATGTTTTCAAAAGATAAAACGGTCACATTATTTGCCAAAGACAATATACGAGTTCGAATAGAAATTTAGTCTTCGATCCTTTATTCAAAAAACCCGAAGACGCTTCCAAGGAAATACGTTCAATATGATACAAAATACATTTTCGAAAACCACTTTAACTTATTCATTTTACAAGAAAATAAACGGACGGCATGTCCCTTGTGTTTACCTATTTTTCCAGCCATTAATAGCTTCATTATTTTTCTCAAATCAGTCCCAACATGTCGTATAGAATAATCTCATGTCCAAAAGCCGTTCACTAGGCTTAAAGTCATATAAATACAACAATAACTATGAAAAGCAAGCTAGAAACATTTTCAGATAAAACAATGCTTGACATCATTTTACGGGAATGGCACTAAAGGCACTACGATTATTGGATTAGGGTGCAAGACCCACCCTTTCGAAGCTAAGAGATAGTGCTACAACAATGTAGAAGGTCACTCAGTCCAGTTTGTAGTGAAACTAGGTCAAAAATACAAGATACCAGATCAGAACCGCAAAAACAGGTGGACAAACCACGTTCTGGTTAACGAACTACAATTCGGTCTACTTAGGTCCAAATCCATTGATTCCAAAGCCAAATGATAGCTAGGACATCAGGCTACATTTCATTAGAAAACCTCTACAACCAGTTCAGAAGTTTTCCTAGCCAAAATAGCTAATTACTGCAACAATTCCCAAGTTCGGATGAAACCAGAGCAGCAGGGGTAAATTCGACTTTTCTCATTCTACACTACTCCGATTGACCTGAAATTTTACAGGCACCTCAAACACATCAATACCTACAACTTTCATGTTTTAAGCCAAGGCCAATTCGGCCTCTAACTAGGGTGAACAGTGCCGGACAGAATTGAAGACAATGAAGCCCTAAGTTTTCCAAATTTCCTTCCAAACAACATTTTCTTGCAATTAACCATCATTCACACTAACTAGCCTCATTCTATAACATTTCCATTCATTATATATGACCACTTAGACAAAATCATATGCAAACAGAAAAATCATAATTAAATATCAAACTTCACCATAAATCACCCCAAATCAAGATATAACTCACAAAATGACATGTCCAACCCTTACACTTCACAATTTAACCATTATCAATGCAAGAGAGAACTTTCTTAATCATCTTACCTCACAACTCAAGAAGACTAGCAAATCCAAGCTCCCCTTTAAAAATCACTCCACCCAAAAGCTTTAACCTTCCAAGAAGCTCACTTGTATGGAGGGAATTAAAAATCTATTGGTGAAGTTCCAAGATTGAAGCAAAAATCAAAGATGAAGATTGAAGAGTTTTTCTCCCTTTGCTCTCAAAGCTCACGGCTGGACAGGGAAGAAATGAGATATTTTGGACCAAAAAAAGTGGGATAAGAATGAAAGAAACAGCCGGTCAAAGCCTCTGACCGGCTGTGACACGTCACAATCCGGCCAGAATCTGGCCGGATTTCCGGCCGGATTCTTGGCCGGATATGAGGCCGAGACGAAACATTTTTTTTTTCAAAAATGTAGGGCAATCCGGCCAGCTATCTGGCCAGAAACTGGCCGGATTTCCGGCCGGATTTGGCCACTTCACTTTTCCAAAATTTTTTTCCTTTTTTTTTTCCTTTTTTTTTTCTTTTTCCGAATTCAATTGTCGCGCTCAAACGTACTTCTAACACATACACTTACATACATATTTCCTACATAAATGCACATAACAACTAGGCCTTCCTATTTCCAACGATTAGTTAACAAATTTTGCACTTAAGAGGAGAAAAGGAGAAGAAACAATAGACTAAGGAAATATGCAAATTCTAGGGTTCTCACATCTGGGAACAAAAGAGAAGATACAACTGTCAAAGCTAGTCTTTAGGGCCTCAATGTCTTCTAGGATTGTTTGTAACTTACAATCCTGAACATTGCCCGCATTGATCGAGCTCACAATGTTTCTGCAGTCCGACTGGACTTCTATCTTTGTCCATCCTGCAGCTTGAGCCATATCCAGCGCACTTCGGATTGCTAAAGATTCCTCCGTGGCAGCTTCCCCTTTTTTCCTTCTACTAATCCCTCGGACTTTCACTAGATCTCCTCGCCAGTTCCGTGCAACAATTCCCAATCCGGTCCTGACCATTTTTGCTGAGATTGCTGCGTCCGTATTAATTCTCACTACTCCCTCCATTGGTGGCTCCCAATTATGATGACTCAATCTTTCCTGCTCTGTTGATTCGAATCCTCGGGGTTGAGGACCAGTTGCCTCTTCAAATTCGATCCACTCTTGCTGGGCTTTGTCAATTATCACTTTTGCGTCCACGCTCTCCAGCTGGAATACTCTCTTGTTTCTCGCCTTCCACAGCTGCCAAAGTATATATACTGTGAGCTTGATGCGGTCCATTCCTTGGGCACCCTTAGCCGATTCCATCACAGCATCCCACCACCTCCACATGTTGCATTGTAGCTCAGCTATCCCTTCCCAACTCACCGGAGCTAGCCTCCAAGCCATTTGAGCTGTTGGACAAAAAAAGAATACATGTTCAATGGTCTCCGTAGCCTCACCACAACATTGGCACTGATTGCTTCCTTTCCCAACTCTTTGGTAGAGAGCTTCACTAGTAGCCAGCAGCTTCACTAGTAGCCAGCCCATTTTGCAAACACCTCCATAAAAAATGCTTGACCTTCATTTTGATATTGAAGCCCCACAATCTTTTCCACACCGTGTGCTTCCTAATTGCCCAGCAAGTCTCTGATTCAGGTGCAATCCTGTGGTTCATAATCTCCCTTCCCCCTTTGGCAATAACGTAGCCTGTTCTAACTGTATAAGCACCAGACTTGCTATGCAACCAATACAATCTGTCTTTCCTTTCATATAGACTAAGAGGGATGTTAGTTATGAGATCCACATCATCTATGTTAAACCAGCGATGCAATGTATCAGTCTTCCACCTCCCCTCCTCTATTAGTTCATGGATACACTCAAGTTGACACCCTGCTGGTTTTACCGTAGTTAATTTCCCATAGCGCGATCCAGCTACCCATCTGTCTTCCCAATTTTTAATTGACCTTCCATCTCCTACCCTCTTGTATAGGCCCTGCTGAAGCAGCTCACCTCCCTTGTGTAAACTTTTCCAGCACCAAGATGCTGTGCTCGGGGGCTTTTGAACAAGCCAATCATTCTTTTTCATGTACTTAGCTTTCAGGACCTTGCTTACTAACAAATTCGGATTTGTAACAACCCTCCAAATTTGTTTTGCAAGCAAGGCAACATTGAAGGCTTCTAAGTCTCTAAAGCCCAAACCCCCTTTCCCTTTAACTTCAGTAAGCTTACTCCACCTCACCCAATGCACTTTGTTCTCTAGACCACCCCCGCCCCACCAGAATCTGGCAATAGTTGCACTAATACCCTTGCACAAGCCTTTAGGGAGCTTAAAACAAGACATAATATAGGTAGGCATTGCCATGATGACAGATTTGATTAGGATCTCCTTACCCCCTTGACTAAGCACTTTATGTTTCCATCCTTGGAGTTTGCTAATGATGGTACTTTTCAGGAAACCAAATACCTGATTCTTAGCTCTCCCAATGGTCATAGGTAATCCTAAATATTTCCCACTAGAGGCTTCCCTCATATTGCCCAAAACCTCCCTAATCTCTCCTCAAATCCTGTTGGGGGTATTTTTAGTAAAGAACATGGCTGATTTATCAAAGTTTACTACCTGTCCCGTGGCTTGTCCATAAGTCTGAATGATCTCCTTTACCTTCTTAGCCTCCTCCTTGCTTGCTTTGCAACACAAAAGAGCATCGTCTGCAAAAAAGAGATGAGAGATCATAGGGCTGTCTTTGCAGACTTTGATGCCCGTTAGTTGCTTAGAATCCACAGCTTTCTTGATTAAATTGGACAGCCCTTCCATGCATATAATGAACAAGTAGGGGGATAGGGGATCCCCTTGACGGAGACCTCTAGATGGTTTGATATGGCCCACCTTTTGTCCATTCAAATTAAAAGAATAAGAAACAGTGGAGATACACGTCATGATCCAGCGAACAAAAGTAGGACAAAAGCCCATTTGTAACATAATTCTGCCTAGAAACTTCCACTCCACTCTATCATAGGCTTTTGACATATCAAGCTTTAAAGCCATAAAGCCTACTCTACCACCTCTCTTATTTTTTAGGAAATGCAAGACTTCATGAGCTATGATAGCATTATCAAGAATTTGACGCCCAGGGACAAAAGCAGATTGAGACGGATTAATACAGTGCACTAGGACTTTTTTCAATCTATTAGCCAAGATCTTGGAAATAGTTTTATAAAGGACAGTGCAAAGGCTTATAGGCCTGTAATTAGTAAGCACAACAGGATTGTCAACCTTAGGGATAAGAGAGATAATGGTCTCATTAATAGCCGTTAAGATATTACCAGAATGGAAAAAACTTGTGAGCATGGACAATATCATTTTTGATAATATGCCAGTGTGTTTGGAAAAATAAAGGGGGCATACCATCAACTCCAGGAGCTTTATTTGGGAACATGGAAAATATGGCTTGTTTTATCTCCAAATCTGTCACTGGCTTGATCAACTGTATGTTCGCGAGATTAGAAATAGTGCTCGGTATGCCTTGCAACACTTCTTCAAATTCAAATGGATTACTTGAGTTGAACAGCTCCGCATAGTGCTCGCTTATCTCAGCTTCGATTTCCTCTGCACTCGTACACCACTCCCCATTAGCCTTCTGGAGTATACTAATATTGTTCCGTTTTCTAGCAGCCATGACACTTAGGTGACAGTAGGCTGTATTCTTGTCCCCCTCCTTGAGCCATCTGCTCCTTGATTTCTGGCTCCAAAACAACTCTTCATCCTTGTAAGCTTTGCTTAGTTGTAGCTTTAAGGTTGTGATAACTCCTTTGTTGCATGGCTCATTCCCCTCACGGACGGACCTTAGTTTCTCCTTCAGCTCCTGAATTTTTGCCTTTGTGTTGCCTTTAAGTGACTTGTTCCATTCAATCAGAGCAATTCTACATTCCTTAATCCTTTTCACCACTCTGAACATTCTAGACCCATTTTGTTCCAGTCCCCAAGCTCTTTCAATAACAGCTATTGATGCCTCATCCCTTGCCTATCTTTGGTCGAAGAAAAACCTTCTTTTGGCCCTCCGTTGCTTTAAATCTGTGTCCATCAGGAGCAGGCAGTGATCAGAAGCCTCTATTTCAATGTGTTCCACAACAGCATTCCCATACTTTTGCACCCACCCAACACTTCCTAAACATCGATCTAGTCTCTCTCTTATTTCTCCCTCCCCTTCCCATGTGTTACTCCATGTCCAAGGCACCCCCTTACACCCTATATCCACTAGCTCATTCTCAGAAATAAAGCTATTGAACTCCCTAAAACTACCCTCTGATCTCTCTCTTCCCCCCCCACTTCTCCCCATTTGAGCAAATGTCGTTAAAGTCTCCCACTACTACCCATTTCTCACCCCATGCCCTCTTTTTTTCCCCTATTGTCTCCCATTGCTGCACTCTCACCCTCTCATCTGTACTTGCGTATATACCAACCAACCACCAATAATCACTCGTGTCCTTGTCTTCCACTCTTGCTGCAATATACCAATCAGAGCTGTGTATATCCAATAATTGTACCCCCTCATTCCAAAACAAAGCTAGTCCCCCTGCTCTACCCTTAGGATTCACTACAAAACTATGATCAAACTTAATTCTATTTTGCACCTGTTTCATATACCTTTCTTTGTTTTTTGTCTCACATAAGAACACCACACTAGGAGAGTGGAGGTGAATTACCTCCTTCAGCTGGGGAATTGTCAAGGGGCCTCCTGCACCTCGGCAATTCCACACCGTAACCTTCATTGTGAAGGCAGAGGCATTGCGGGGCTAGCCTCCAATTCCCCTCCTTGCTGATCGACTTCCTGGTCCCTTCTTAATAGCTTGTGTTGTGGACTATGTGTTACGTCCTCTTCCAGAAATTCACGAATGAAATCTACCAGAATTTCTAAACGTTCAATAGCCTATCTATAAGGGTAGGTCCTAAAAGAGGATCATGCCAGACCTCTTATTTTCCTAATGTTTGTGAATGAAAAAGACAAGAGACAATGAAACATTAGTTCAACACATAATCACATAACACGTTGGACAATTAGATGATATAAAAAGCAACAAAGACAAATAAGGAAAGAGGGGTGAGATCCCTCCCCTCGTGCCTAATGTCCTTAATAGGGTAAAGTTGACTCTACCCTAGGCAATTCTAATATGGATGCATGAGGTTGGGGCTCACTAATGCAACTAGACTCGATAAGGTTTAAAAAGGTCCCCAAGCCTTCAGACCTAAGGGAATGGGTCATCAATCCCAAGACCCTCAGTCGGTGGCTGGCTCGAGCGATCCCCTAGGTACTGCTATGGGCGCAGAGCACACCATCCACATACCTAGAAAAACCATTCCTTGTCCTACAAGGTGGTGTGGGAAAGAGCCCACGAAAATAAAATAAAATGGGATAACAATAAATAAACATGCACGTATGAAGTGTTCCCTATTTTGAGGGAAAGGGTTGAGACCCAACGCGAGGCTCTAAAGGTGACACACCCCCCCCAAATGCAATGCAAAGCGCGAGATAAAACAAGTAAAACATACATCCAAGCAAACAATCATACATACGTGAGTGAGGGAGTAGTTTGATACGCGCGCGAGGCAAAAGGTCCTAAAATGAAAAATGCAACCCTAATATCCAAATGCTACGCATAACAAGGGTAGAAAACGGAAAAGAATAGCTAAATCAAATGCTTGGACCCACTTAGGAGGTCCCCAGTGGAGTCGCCAAGCTGTCGCGCCCCACTTTTTGAAGTGTGAAAGTAGTGTGTAGGAGATGTATGTGAACGTGTGTGAAAGTGAAAATAAAAGGCCGTGGGATTGTGAAATGCGACGGTTTGGCCAAACAAAGGGTTTTAGATAGAAAAGGAGTCGCCACTTGGTATAGAGTTAGAGTGTACCAAGTCACCCAAAAAAGTGATTTTTGTTTTTGGAAAGAAAAGTAAACAAACCCTTTTTAAAGAATTTTTTAGGTCTACGTAACCAAAGAAAGGGATCGGGGGTCACATTTGATAAGGGAGAAGGCAAAGGCAAAGCCTAAGGCACTCCCTTACCCTAGCCAAAGCTAGTTGCGTGACTTAGCCTTTCTTTTCCTAATTCTTCTATCCAAAGTATGTGTTGCATGTTGGATATGACTAATGGATGCGAAAAAAAGAAAAATGCAATCCTAAATCTAAAATGTCTCTTATGAGGCTTTTTGGTCCCAACCACATGAGTTGTGATGGGCAATAAGGAAAACTCTCATAGAGGTCACGGGTAATGCAAATGAAGACCCAAATATGAGTGCAAGTGTGAAAATGTAAGAAGAATGCAAAATAAAATAAAAATACAAATACAAATATAAGTGCAAGCGTGCAAATGTAAGAAAAGTGCATGTGTGCAAATTAAGAAAATAAAGGTGTTTGTG